TTTTTTTTTTTTTTTTTTTTTTTTTTTTTGTTTTTTTTTTTTTTTTTTTTTTTTTTTTTTTTTTTTTTTTTTTTTTTGTTTTTTTTTAACTCAGAGACTTTTTGATATAAATTAAAATAATCGTTAAGATAACATTAAAAAAAAAATATATATATATATACTCAAAAAAAAAAGAAATATTAAAATTCTGAATAGAATAAACATTGATATACCATGATATAGTATTAATATAGGCAACATTATCAATAGTAACTACCGAATAATAAACGATATACTACGATAGAAGAATTTAAAATTTAAGTGATGATTTGTTAAATAAATGGAACATTTATTGTAAACTTAGTGAAGAATTAGATGAAAACTTAAACTTGGACAAATATTGGAAAGAAAAATCTAATGATTTACCTTTACTTTCAAAAATCACATTATTTTATATCTGGTTACCTGTATCTGGTGTTGATGTAGAATGGAGTTTTAGCAATTATAAAAACATTTTAAGTAATAAGCGACATAATCTTTCACAAGATTCTTTGTCGATACTAAACTTGCTTTATTTTAATAGGGCAATTTAAATAATTTGTAAACATTTTTTGTTTTTTTAGTACTTTTTTTTTTTCAGGTGTTAAAAATTTTTTTTCTTTAAATTTTTTTATTTAAATTTTTTTTTTTCTTTAAAATTTTTTTCTTCGTAAACTGTAACACAAATTTATAATTATCACATTATGTAGTGATAAATCAAAATTAGAACAATATAAATATGTATACCATATTACCACAAAATAACGCACACCTGCATGGTGTTTCGATCACCTGCGCGCTATTTTGAGTGCATGCATGTGCGCTATTTTGAGATAACCACAATTTTTTAAGCATATATGTATAAGATGTTCAAAACAATCAAAAAGCAATATTTTCAGTTTCAGCAAAATTTTATCTTAGACTTCGATGTTTTAAAAAAAAGTTTAAACCATTAAAAAACTGTTTAAACCGTTTTTTACCATCACTAAATTATATAAATCATAAAGATTTTCTCACATATTTTTACTTTAACTAGTGTTGGGATCCGTTTGGTTAAACATCCGGATATCCGTGGATGGTACGGATATTGAGATGTCAAATTTTGCTTATGGATGGTGAATATGGATAACATAAAATATTCCGGATAGTCATCCGGATACTATCCGGATATCCGAATTGACATCTGGATCCCAACACTAACTTTAACTGTATTATTTTCACGTGTTATATATTCGATTATATGTATACTATATATAGTGTGCGCTATTTTGGGACGCGCATGGGCGTTATTTCGAAACCCATTATGCAATTTTTAGGGGATGCGATTTTTAAAATAACGCCCATGATCGTTATTTCACGGTAATACGGTAAGGTTCCTTATATAAATATCGCACAATTTGAATTTATCACATCGCACTACAATGTATTTCAAATTGCATAATCTGGGGTCTCTAAAATACGGCATCCTATGATGATTTTTTGCAGCTTCATTATTTTTGACATCTAAATTATTTATGATTTAGGCTATCTAAAAATAATTTGGTCATTTTTTTTAATTTACAACAAGAGCAAAAATAGTTTAGACACCTATTGCTAAAACAATCTAGAAAGGAATGACAATTAGAGTTTGGCATAAAAATTTCTAAAAAAAATATACTGCAATAATGCTAAAGAACAATAACATTACCATTGTCTTCATTGTCTTATTGGTCCTTTGCTGATGCCTACATTTAACAAGTCAGAAATATCCACAATTATTTTACAATAATAGTCAAGTGAAAATGATTACTTCCTAATTTGGTACCACATGATAAGGAGATTTTTTAGGGCTAATGTTATTGGCTTTTACTGCATCATTGTGTGATGTTATTATGATTAACCATAGCTACCGCAACAAATTTGGACTGGCAAATCCTCGATTTTGATTGGCTAAGAGCGACAATAAAAAGATTAGGCCGTAATTACTCATAATTTTACTAATGAAATCATAGCCGCCTATTAAATGAAAATTGTTCCTGGGCTAATTTTACCATAATGTGGGCTTATTTTTTAAGAATTTCTATTTTTGTAATAAAAAAATTAAAAAGTTAATTCCAGCCGGAAATTAGTAACCAATTTTGTAATGTGGGCCAAAATTTCGAAGATCCTCAGCAGTTGGCCAATCAAAATTGAGGATCTACCAGTTCAAATTTGTTGCGACAGCTATAGTTAATATGAATAATCACGATAAGCTAGCTGTAGCAGTGACATGAATCAACTATCTGGCATCAATCATCGACCCGACATTGATCATCGACCAGTACTTTGAAGGGGTGCCCTGATATACTCATATATGTAAGGGGAAGATAAGATAAATTTAATGAAATTACTTTAGGAGCTTATGATGCGAATACTAATATATCCAAATTTAGCAGGAACATATAACAATAATGTACAGGTATAAACCGGAAGAACAGCAGGGCAGCACACAGTAGCCCCTTCAAGAGGCAAATCAATATCACATCCTGCCCTACCCTCTCTCAGTAGAATTCTGCCATTTTGTAGCAGCTTAAATATCTCTTTACAGCTGTCTGGGTGGGAAACCACCGGCTAATTCCAATTATACATCAAAATACACTGATGTATGCTATATATCTCTTTCAATTATACATTAAACGTACTGATGTATAATATATGCTATAATTCTCTAATAAAGTTTGAATATCCAGCGCTATTAGTGCTGATAATTATGCGCAAATTTATAGTATCAGATGCATTGATTCTGTCCTCTGCTTAGTTCTTCCGTTCCTGGTTTCGCACGATGACATCGCGCAGTTATCTAGTTTACCTAATTTGTTCCAAATCACTTTAGTTTATATTTGGCTTCTTTTATGTTGAACAAAGCTTTTCCATGTGCAAAAATATTCTTACAGATAGGAGACAGGCTCTTTCAGAAAACTCAATTAGTATTTTAAATTTTATGTATTTTAATAAAATCGAATAAATTTTTCTATTAGATTTCAAATTTCAAACAAATGCTGATCAAATTCTTTTCATTTAATAAACTAGTTATTTACAATCTGTATTGCAAAATGGCAAGTAGATTTTTGCTTAATATAAATTGAATTCTAACAATAAAATTCTTTTATTATTAATAATGCACTAATTTAATAGACAAAACCACCAAGAACTTATTATAATTAGGAAGTAAGTTTGAACCATATAAGATTTTAAATTTTATTCATTGTATAACCTTAAATTATTCTATCTTGTAGAAATAGAAGAGATCCTGTAGCGCCAGCTCAATTAATACCTTCGTTTCAAAAAAAAAAAACATTTGTATATGTATTGTGTACTGCTTTTGACATATCTAGGTGGTCTATAAAGTCAAAGCTATATAAATCATTAATTTTAAATATTTTCCGTTTAACTACTATAATATTTTCAATCAAATATGTGACCATATATGCGCATTACATTTTCTCGTCCACTCTACATAGGATCCAACTAAAAAGAGTACGGCTTGGAGTTACTGTCCCTGTTGCGTCCAGTTGTTCAGCTACTTTTATTAGAGCCGGTAAAAACTGGTTATTTATAAATTTATTTCATTTGTTTTCTTGGTCTGTCCTGAATGCTTAGAACTTAATGCGGTGATTTTTTCTGTTATGTCATCCGTAGATTTGTTCTTTGATGGAACAAGATTCCTATCAATTCTTTGGGCGATTTGTAAAATTCTTGATTTATATTGTTCATATCTATCCTGTACTAAAAAAGGGGTAACTTC